GAAGAAAAGCCATTAAAACCGGGGTTTTCCCCCCCCCACCGTCGCCATATAGACCCTCGCTTCTTACCCGCCATGACATGCAGCCCGAGGAGCCCTGGAAGCAGAACGAAGCCATTCCCAGAGTAACACCCTCCCCTGCTCCCCGCCATCCCCTGCAGACACGGCGGCGCTTGCAAGAGCAAAGGGTAAGGCGCTAAATGGCCACGCATCACATGAATGCTCCCCAGAAACGATGGCATCCCGTGCATATAGACCCTCGCTTCTTACCCGCCATGACATGCAGCCCGAGGAGCCCTGGAAGCAGAACGAAGCCATTCCCAGAGTAACACCCTCCCCTGCTCCCCGCCATCCCCTGCAGACACGGCGGCGCTTGCAAGAGCAAAGGGTAAGGCGCTAAATGGCCACGCATCACATGAATGCTCCCCAGAAACGATGGCATCCCGTGCCAGGCAGCGCCCTCCCGCCTCCATGAGAGCAGCAAAGAGCAGCCACTGGCTGGAGAACAGCAGGAGGGGCTTTCCCAATCGCCAATGCTCTGCCCACAAACACACGTCAACCCCAGACATGCACAGCCCCTCTTCTCCCTGCTCCCCAGCCTGGGGGAGAGGCACACAAACACTCGGCCTCTCCGGGGGACCAAACACCGGCTCGGTGGGTAAATGACATTTTCCCAAGGCAGAATTTGGCCCGATGCATCAGCTTCTTTCTCAGGTAGCAGCTGCTCCCCTGGAGCGAGTAGTGAGTTTCGAGGAGACCTTTCCGATCGCAGGTGTTTCTCAGCTACACTCAGGTTTTCCTAGGGCGAGCCACGTAGTTCCCAAAGTCCAAGTGTCAATCCTCGGAGATCTGACCGGTCCCAGATCGCTTCGACGGTCTCATGTCAAAGGCCAAACAAAGGATTTCGGGTGGGCTCCTTGCAGGCCAGTACAGGTTCCGAGCGGCTCTGTGAAAGTCCCCTGGACCATAGGGTACCCAGCTCCTGCTCCCATCAGTCGCGAGGGCTGAAAGCGACTCTTGGGGGGCCAGCTCTAAAGTTTGTATAAACCAAAAAACGTCTTGCTTTCCTCGAAATTCACCAGCGCTGCGTCAGAGACGTTGACGTACAAGCTGTCTGATTTGGTGAGGTTGAACAAAGCGCCCAGATAGCTGCCCCGGGCCCACATCTTCCCAGCGGCACAGTAGTTCAGCTTCTTGTCCTCCATCAGCACCTGGCTGGTGGGGTAGGCGGGGTTGCGCTTGAAGACCACGTGGTCCAAGGCCTGGCTGCTGCACACCTTGCCTCGGAAGAACACCTTGGAGTACACGAAGTACAGGCCCGTCTCGTTGATCGCCAGCCCCCGCTGCCGGCGTGCCCGAGGGTGGTCACCCACTCCAGAGGGAGGGCCTTCTGATCCGCCTTGCCTGGGAACAGAGATTAACAAGCAGCTGTTAGACGTCGGCACGTGTGGGCGAACCGTTTTCAAGTCTCTCCAGTCACGGGCAAGTCCCATCACCTCAGCTTCTTTCCGTGCAGCAGGGATGATGCGTGTCCAGCTCGGAGCCAGGCGCCGAGTTCGGTCATGCACGTCAAACACTTCTGCAGCCTCCAGGCCAGGGGGTTACCCAACCCAAAGGCAAAGCAAAAAACCCACCTGGGGTACATATGAACAGCCAGACGGGGTCAGACCAAAGGGCCATCCATCCCAGTGTCCGGTCTGCCCACAGTGGCCAATGCCAGATGGCCCAGAGGGAGTGAAACAAATGGGGAATCTTAAGCGATTCCTTCTGTCACCCACTCCCAGCTTCTGACAGGCCTACCCATCCTGGTTAGTAGTCACTGATGGACCTAAATGGCTCCATGAATTTATCTAGTTCTTTTTTGAACCCTGGTAAAGTCCTGGTCTTCACAACCTCCTCTGGCAAGGAGTTCCACAGGTTGACTGTGTGCTGTGTGAAAAAAATACTTCCTGTTGTTTGCTTTAAGCCTGCTGCCTATTAATTTCACTGGGTGACCCCTAGTTCTTGTGTTGTGAGGAGTAAATAGCTCTATTCCCTTTCTCCACTCCAGTCATGATTTTATAGCCCTCTATTGTAACCACCTCTTTAGTCCCCACTTTTCCAAGCTGAAAAGTCCCACTCTTACTCATCTCGCCTCATATGGCAACCACTTCCTACCTCCCTCCCTCCCTCCCACACCCAATAACTTTTGTTGCCCTTTTCTGAACTTTAGGTAAAGTCCCAGAGGAAACCAATGGGGAAAGGAGAAGTGGGAATAAATCAAAGCCATGAGGTTCCACATGTCAAATCTGGAAGGTGCATGAGCCACAGGGAACGCTGCTGCTCCATAGCTAGATGGCTAACTAGGAAGTAACCCACCCACCGCTTTCCTCATCAACACACCTGGCTTCTTGTGGCCATTGGTTTCCTCTTTACCCGGGTCACATACCTGTTAAATGTGCTGCCTTCTTGATCACCTTCTCTGCTGTTGCATCAAGAAGTCCTGCATTAACACGGAGATGCAAAAGAAGGCTGCTTCAGGCTTCGTGGTGAAGCCAGCGTAAGGAAATTAACAATGGGAAGGGAGTCCCTTCCAGGGAATTACAGAGACCCCGTTTCCATGATCAGGGGCTATACTTCAACAGGCAGATTAACTGACTAACCCAGGACACGGCTGCTACAGGGCAGCATTCAGGTAAATACTGGGGTTGCGTCAATTTAAAAAGAGAATAGGGCAGTTTTGCCACAGTGAAATGTGGAAGACCCCTGAAGACAAACAGCAAGTCTGTTGAACATCAGCAAATCTTTGGACAAAGGGGAGGAAAAAGCAGCCGCTCTAGCTCGGTTACATTTTTAAGATAGAAGCAAAACCATTTCCCAAGGTGCTTCCTCTCCAGCTGTTTTCTAAACTGCACTGAAATGGACACACTTCTCCAGAAAGTTGCGATTTTGATGGAACATTTTCCAGCTGGGAAAACATTTGGAGACTAAATGCTCAGTTGGCTTTAGTTACGCAGCCTGTTAACCAGACACGCCAACACTGGGGCTGCATTTTAAGAGAGGCAAAAAGTTAAGGGGGAGCAAAGGGGAAATAATAATATAGGAAAACTGGACACTGATCTGCTGCCATTTTCCGCTCTCCGCATATGTGGGTGTCTCACAGCATAGCAGGAAAGCCAGTATCTCATCTTTCCAGTGAAGTACAAGCTGGCACGTCCATCACCCATGAAAGGGGAAGGCGGGGCCCTACCTGCAGAGCTGGAATCCAAATCAGGATGTGAAAGTTTGCAGGGATTTTGGGGATTCAGATCTGGGGCTGGGCCCCTTTCTAATCAATGCTCCTTGCATTAGCCAAGTTTCTTCTAGTCCTCACGCTGACGGGAGACCCCTACTGGCCCCCCAAACCGACGGTATGCCCACTTACAGCTACAGCCGCCCAAGAGAACACAGCATCTAGAAAGCACCCGAGCCACAGGGCTGTAAATGCACCATCTGCCACCCCATGCTCCTGCCTTGGTATCCTGCTTACTGTGTTCCTCAATAATTTTGGTCTCCCCCCTTTTTTCCCCCCCTCAATAGAATTTTTTCCCTCAATACTTGTTTTTGGGGGGGGTCGGTATTTTTGGTTAAACCATCTGGCAACCCTATATATTAACAGAACTGCCCCACAAGGGCATCTGAAGCCTTGTTTCCAGCTTGAAGGATCCAGTGATCACAACCAGATGTATGAACATATCCAATTCCAAATTTCTTGAGTTCACCTGCTGATCTCAGCTGAATCAGAAAAACTGGAAGAACCCCTGAAGTTCATGCAGTCTGGAATAAATGCACAAGAGATTTGACCATCTTCAGTGTTTTGGATAACCACAACAGGCAGTCTTGGTGATTAATATCAGAACTGGCAGGCCCAGCGGCCACCCCAAGAGAAGGTGGGGCGGGGGCGGGGGCAGGAAGGGGAAGGGGAAGAGATGCTGCCGCTGGCGGAATTCCTGGTGGGGTTCCCCCCCCAGCTGACACGCGTTGTGGGGTAAGGTGGCTCACCTAGGCGCTTCTCCGCAGATGAAGGGACGTGCCCGGTGCTGATTTGCTGTCAAAACAGAAAAGGGACAAGTTCACACCGAGTGACCCACAGTGGCCTCAGCAACAGGCCGATCCTCAGGTGGGGTAAGCAGGTGCCAACTTCAATCCGGTTGCACCAATCCGTGTCCACTACTGGTCTAGCTCAGCTCTCTCATTTCTGGCTACTCCTACACCAACGGGCACCCAGACAGACGTTACCTCTCGGAGCTCAGCCAGGTCCTTCTGCAGCTGGACGATCTTAAACATCCCCAGCCCCACTCCGGCCAGCGCCAGCAGGGCCAGCAGAAAAACCACCAAGAAGCAGAGGCGCGAACCATCCCTGGTGTTGCTCTGTTTCCTCCTCCTCCTCTCTGGCACGGGCGGCGGGCAGGAGGCGACGGGCGCAGGCGGGGCGCACGTGGGGCTGGCGCAGCTGTCCACCCAAAAGATCTGGGGGTAGACGTAGTTCAAGTTCTGCTGCATGGCGGGAAGCGGAACGGCTGGGCCGCGCCGGCTAGGGAGCGCCTCTGTCATGCGGCAGCTAAATCCGGCCGTGTCAGCCTCAGACTGAGCCCCGGGAGGGAAGCCGGCACCGCCTTTATACGCCTGCATCGCCCTAGCAGAGAGGGATCTACTCAGACATATGAGTCTAAGCAGCCTGAGACAGCAGCAGCAAACCTCAAAGAGCTTCCGCCCACCACCTTCCGACGTAAGACGCTCACCCTGACTGCGGCTCCCACAGGCAGGGGGCAGGCATGCAAGGTGCTTCTGAGCAAGCAGCTCCGGGGTGCACCTGCAGCCTCCTTGAGCGGCCCCCATGAGCCAGCACCACCCGAGTCAGGAAAGGGTAAAGAGGGTGGAAGAGGGGAGGGTTCCTGTCCTGGGCTCACCTGGGAGCGAGTAACCACATTGGAGCAGGAAGCTGCACACTCCTCTGCCACTTCTTTCCAGCGTGGCCATGCTGGGCCAGGCTCCATTGGCCGCTGCCGGCTCTGACAGCCAGACCTGGGCCTGGCTACGGAGCAAGGGCAAAGAGAAAGCAGGGTGGTCGGGGCTGCAGGCTTAGTTCAATTCCTGTGTGACCTGGGAGCAACCAATGAACAGTCCTGTGCCTCGACCCCCCTCCAGCCGTGAAGGGGACCCAACGGCACCACCTCTTCACGTGTAACGCCCAGCCAACCCCTCCTCCGCAATGGGCTCTAGGGGCAATTTTACGTCACCGCCTCACCCCACAGCAAGAGAGTCCATAAAAGCTGGCTGTGGAGTGACAGGAGGCAGAATAAAAATGTTTTCCGGAATCTAGGTTGGTTTGTTTTTAAATTCCAGTGGCTACTGTGTGCACGTCTGTCTAAGCTTATGCCCATGTCTAGCTCCGGAGAAGCTGGCGTATTGGGCGTGTCTCTATCGACGCACAGGTAAATCCACGCACAGACCTGCGGTTGATAGCTTCGCCTTCGACACGCCTCCTCCGGAGAGTCCGAGGCCAGAAGGCAGCACGTGTATGCGGCTCAGACTGTTAGCCACTCGCGACACAGGGATCACAGTGGGCCGAACGTACCGAGCAGGCCTGGGCCCCAGCCGGAGCCAAAGGCATTGCAGGAGCGGACGCCAGCACGCTTTTCCCAGCCTGCACGCTCGGTTCTATTTCCTACCACTTGACGGGTTGTCAGACGTGTCCTCGAAACCCCGACACCAACCCCAGGCACCCGCCTGCCCTTTGAAGACGCTCACCACAGTTGTGCACTGAAGCAGCGTGTTGCAGTGAATGAGGTTTTGGAAACCCATGTGGGAACCCCTCCTAACCTACATTTCTTCACATTTCAAGACATTAAAAAAAACCCACCAGAACCCAGCACTGTTCCCCTGCCCCACAGCCACCCTATCTCCAGGGTCTCAGCCTCCCTGTTACGCATGGTTGGGTCCCACTGGTGTTCCGATGGTACCCATGCTGGCCAAGCCGACGTCAGTCACTTCAGAACAGTGTTCCAGTCCAGGCATGGGCCTCACTTCTGCCTGGCTGCTACACTGTTTGAACTAGAGAAACACTGAAAAGATTTGGGCTGAGTCTTAACGGCCCCAAAGTTCCATGTGGTTTGGCTCAGAGGATCTGGTTTGGGGTCCGCTCTCGTCGTTTGGCTCTGTGTGCACCAACTTTCCCACTCAACTGGCCAGCAGATGCAGACAGGGTCCAACGCAGACCCTCTTAGGGAAATACTGTGGAGCCGAGAAAATAAGATCTGAGGCTCAGGCGGGACGAGTGGCTTAAACGCTATTTTTTTGGGCCCACAAAACTGTATCACAAGCCTCCCATCCTCAAAAGCACCCACCCTCATTGGGGACCAACTGCCCCACCCCGGACTACACTTTGTTCAACTATTGGCTTCACTGCTGGGCACCACCCAGCCTCTCCCTGCCACGGTGCAAGAGCAGGAAGGTTGCCAACACAAGTTGGACCTTACAGAAAATAGCTGAGTCACGAGGCTTTGACCCGCCTCGCTAACACCAGATGGAGCAGGAGAGCGCACCTCAAGCTTTTGGAGTGTCCCTTATGTCCCTTTCCTTGCTCCCAGTACCACGGGAAGGCTGAATGTCTCACCTGTGGCAAGCCAGATCCCAGTTACAACCGCCTGGGATAATGCTGCAGGCTCCCAGGGTAGACAGCACCGGTTGACTGGGTTGTTTGGTTGTTAGTGAAGAAGACCCCTTGGCTCAGAAGGAAGGGGAGAGACGTTCCTAGGTGTGGTGGGGGCAGGGGAAGGAGACAGAAGAGCACCACTTTACCCAGGAGAACAGGCGTTCCTGTATTTCCCTTCAT